AGAGAAGGTGAATGAGAATGACCTACCTGCAAATACGTGGGTCGTGATGCGTGTCCTGTCTCGGCCCCTCAGGTATGACATGAAGGTCCGCGAGCTCGGCGCCACCCAGGATGAGATGCGCGCATCCGCTCAACGAGAACAGGAGCTGCAGACTAACGTATGTGCACACAAATGTATCCCTCAAGCCATCCATTAGAGACACATCCTCTTTTCATCACTAATCAGATTCGCGACAAGACTCGGGAGCTGGGTGAGTGTCAGCAGCGACTGCGGCACGTGCAGGGCGCCCTCGAGCAGTCGGAGAAGGACAGGCTGGAAATCAGACAGAAACATGTCGAAGTCGGGGAGAAATTCGAGCGGTAAGTCACTCATCCAATCCACACCTAAGGCGCCTCACCCAAGCGGTTTGTATTATGTGTACAGATACATCCAGCGGGTGGAGCGTTAGAACAAGGCCGCTAAGGTATCTACCATACACACACACACGCAAAGCCACAGGTGGATGTGTGGAATGTGGATGCCCGGCTGCGTTTGTGCAGACTCGGCTTGTCCAGTACAAGAAGCATGAGATCAACTCCATGGTCAGTCAGGTGCATGGCATGAATGGATGAGTGAAGCCGGACCACCTGCATGCCATGCTGACGGCCTACGGCTGTCGTGTACCATACAGACGGAGATCAGCACGCTCAAGAAGCAGTTGGTCGTCAGTGAACAGGAGCTGGAGAATCTACTCATACAAATCAAGGTGGGTCAGCCAGACACACCGATGCACTCACTGATGATGCACAGATTTCTCGCTTTTTTCTCTGTGCCGGTATCAGAGCTTCTTGCTCGAGCTGGAGCGCCGCGCTTATGTGTTGGAGGCCGATAACCAGGCCAAGGCTCGCGAGCACGAGCATCTGATGAAGCAGCTGGCGCTCGCTGAGGCGTGGAAGGACCAAATCCCGCTCGAAAAGCGCCAATCCATCCTGCAGGCAAGACATATGAGCAGCTTCCAGAGACAGACGCGTGTCATGTCTGCGTATGTGCGGTATTTATTGTCTTGGCGACTGTAACAGGACCGCTTGACGACTCACGACTCTCGACAGTGCCCGATGGACCATCTGCCAACGCCGCCAGTGCCTCCCGATACTCGAAGCCTGGGTGCAGGGACGTCAACGTACAAGCAGGGGTACACCCACAAGGAGGTGCCGAGGACACAGGCAGTCGTGCAGCCGCCCAGGCCTTACGCGCCGCTCAAGTTCGAGGGCACCTCCACACACAAGTTAGTAGGCCGAGGAAGGTGTCTCATGCG